AAAGCCAAGCTCTCTCTGTAGACCACCAGAGGGAACCTCCAACCCCTGCACCATGGTGATGAACGGCCACCAACCCCACTTACAATACCATTCACGATACAGCTCTGACTTTGTAACATTTGATATTGTTTCTCATGTTAAGTATCTTCTGTTACATAGGCAGTTCTGCTATAATACTTGTTTTAAAAAGTATTCTAAGAAGAATAAAACAGTAGCATAGTTTTACATATGTTAAATGTCTAGAACAAATTTGTTCCAGTGTGATTGATATATTAGGGAACAGTTTGATCATAATCGAAATTTTACATTAGCTTATGTGCACTGTCATCTCCAAGAAACACTGTGAATGCAGACAACTGTATCTAGCTGAACCCTGCCACACGGGAATACACGAAGCACACAGACCTCAAACATCGCTGCACGTGGCTGAGGCAACCACATCTAGTGTTGAGGCCTGCCATCCCATTTCAGAGGACCCTCCTTCCACCACCACACAATGATTGCAAGCAGCAACACTTCTGAAGCCCACTTCCACAAGCAGATTTCTGGGTGAAATGTCGTGCATGTTATGGCCTTATGTATTTCTTAGACACTTAACATATTGTAAAACTATGCTACTGTTTTATTCTTCTTTTATTTTCTGTGTCACGGATGAAGTTTTGCATGTGATAGCCCCAACTCATTTTCCTCATGAGCCCTGAGGTTTCCATTGTGTGACTCTGCAGACTATGGTAATGTCTAGGAACACGTATATTACACTACAGAACTTACCATATCCAGCCTGAGCAAGAGAGAGACCTCTGTCTCTACTAAAAATAGAAAAACTGGCCAGATGTTGTGGTAGGTACCTATAGTCCCAGCTACTCAGGAGGCCAAGGCAAGAGGATTGCTCAAGCTCAAAAGTTGGAGGTTGCCATGAGCCATGATGCCATGGCACTCTACCCAGGGGGCCAGAGTGAGACTCTCTCTCAAAAAAAAAAAAAAAAACTAACCATATCTTAAATGAGCTAATGTAATGTACATATGTCTGGAACGGTGCGGGAGTATAGTAGTAGCATTAGCTATTATCACCATCATTGTCATCATCCCACACTTCACGGCAGCAGAAACCACGGCATATTGGCCCTTGGGTAATGCTCAGTGTCTTGCAATTGTCAATTATTTAACAAACATCTGCTTAATTGACTGACAGGTCAACAGTCACACTTGGTATTTCTTTCTAAATTGCCTTCAAGTAAGGCTCAGAGAGAAGTTTCAATTATGTATTGAAAGGGAGACCAATCTCCCTGGTCTTCCGGCAGACCCTCTGCTCCCTATGGCTCTGCCCCACCTACCTTTAAGAAGTCAAAGTGCTTGAGCATCTGGGCTACTTTCTCAGCATTCCTCCCTTCATTGAGGAAATCCAGCTCCAAAGGCAGGTTCTTCTTGGCTTCATCCACCAGCCACATAAACTCAAAGTCTGGAAATAGCTGTTTCACAGCCAGGACAAGCACCTGAAATCCACCAAGCACCCCATTAATCAGCCCTCTGCACCCACCAAGGGGGTTACATTTCCCACCTACCTGCTGGGTCATCCCTGGAGAACGGGTTGGTGGAGAAACTTCTCCTCTGAGGTCCATCTCTGGAATCTAAGATGATCACAGCCCAACAGCCACTGGCAGTAACCATGACTACTGTCTGCTAAGTAGCACTCTCCACGTGCCCAGATTGGGGCTAAGCACTTCACCTACTACTCCACTTAATCCTCACAACTCCGGGAGGTACACAGATGCATATCCTAACATCCCCATTTCATAGATGAGGAAGCTAAAGCTCTGAGAGGTTATATGATTTTTCACCAATTCACCCAGCAGAGGAAGTACAGTGCCAGAATTCCACTTGGGTCTACCCAACTCCAAGGCCCTGCACTGAAGCACTTCACTCAACTGCTGCTGTTGCTACTCCCAGATTTGTTCTTCGGGGTTCTGTTTACAAAGCATTCAGAGGCTGCTTCAATTGTAAGTGTCATTTTATTTCTTTCTTAAGCTGAAAGCTTAGTACTCGAGTGTTTATGATATTAGTTTCTATACTTTCTGCATGTCTAAAATATTACCTAATAAAAAATTAAATTTGGAATAAGAAAACAAGGCTGGGCATGACAAGAAATAAAGGATTTGAGTACTTGGATAAAAAGCTTGGATTTTTGGCAATTTCGATCCACAGTAGATTCTTGGGCAATGATGTGATGAAAGAGGGTTTTAGAAGACATATCTGGCATTCAGGTGTCAGTTGAATGATGTGAAATTAAACCCCACAGGCCGAGAACAAGAGCCCAATGCTGTGTGCAGAGCAGATCACACCCCCTCCGTGGGCAGGGAGTCAGTCCTGCCTCACCACCTGGGCCCTGGATTTGAGACAGTGTCACAATTACATGGGTGATGGCTCTATAGTGAGTGAGCAAGGGTGATACCAGGGATATGAATGGTGTTCCAGAATTCCAAGGGGGAGACACAGAAGGCACCTCCCTGCTCTTCCATAAGCTCCCCTGTTGGCAGTCAAAGCCAGGCCTGGGGAGAACCACTGGCTGATGATCCCAACAATTCGTGATATAGATTATAGTCCAAATTCTCTGATAACACCCATCTTCCCCCAATATAGCACACGGCAATGAGTAAGAACTGAAAAGCCATGGGCCCTGGTATCAAGAGATCTTCCCTTTCCAATCTCTCCAGAAGGACTTACAGGGCCACAGCCAAGAGCCTTGTCTTGTGCTTCTTTTTACCCTGGTCTATGATATTATGTCCAACAAGGCATTAGGCTCGTGTGACCCAAAAGAAATGAATCTAACGCTGGGCCATTAACTAAGAGGCACTTAGGGGTTTATTGGTAAGCCCTTTGTCCTTGGTGATATACCAGATGCTATTCTGAAAGAATCACCACACAGGGTTATTACACTCAATTTCTACCAAAGCCCCTTTTAATTATATTAGGATGTAGTTTAATTTATTTTCAGTCCCGTCTGGTCTTTCATGGACTAGACCCATGACCTTATGATAATCGATTTAGTGTATGTTTTGTTTCTATTTGTGTCACATGAGACCAGGAGGGAGAGGTGGCAACACATAGGCCTGGACAGCACATGTCAGGCACAGGCGCCTGGGCATGGCAGCCTCCAGACATCACATCTTGTCACAGTGCCCTCAGATGGCCCTCAGTGGCCACCAAAGCTGGGTGATCTTGGGTCCAACGCATATGAAACCCCCTTCTCACCACGTCATTGCTCAGTGCCTCTTAGTTAATAGCCTAGCTTTAGATTCATTTCTTTTGGATCACACGTGCCTAATGCTTTGTTGTACACAGCAGAGCAGCCACAGGTAAAAGAAGTGCCTCACCCAGGCCTGAGCTGTGGCCACGCACCCATCTAAGGCACCTGAATTCCACTTTCCAGAATCTGAGTTCAGGCAAGAAAAGTTCTACAGCATTTTGCTCTAGTGGAAATTTCAGTGGGCCTTGCCAACGCAGGGCAAGGAAAGGAAGACAGTCAGGTTCCCTTATTTGTTCAACTAGTACTTACTGACTACCTCTAGGGAATTACCCTGGGTGAGACATGAGATATACAGGGAGCTACCTGGAGCCTAGTGAGGCCTATACCAGGGGTGAGGGGAAGAATCTTCTGGCCAAAGAGTAATTCCTCATCATTTAATGTATGGGCATTGTTACTTGCAAAATTTTAAATTAGTATTAATATCCAAACAGCACTGAAAGGCACAGTAAAGATTTTTTTCTGTTATTAATCAATTACATAATTAGTCATTACTAACACTATTGGTTATTATTAATACCTGATGTCATTAATCATAAAAGCAGGCATAGATTTTATTGATAGTAACTGCTAATAACTAATTGATAACCCTCTAAAACTTTATGGTACTCATAAAACTGGTTTCTGAATCATTCTGTGGGATGTGGGCCAGCCTCTTGGTTACTTTAAACCAAAAAGGTTTGTTTGAATGGAAGTCAGTGGTTCTTAGCTTTATGGGAGGTCACCATTCTCTTTATGGGAGGTTATCAACTGGAAAACCTAATATCAGCTATGAAGCCCAGAAAATGTACAAACTCACGTAATTTTGTACATAATTCAGGGTATTCTCCTACCCCTTGAAATTCACTGGTGGAGAAGGAAGGTCAGGTGAAGAGTCATCTGGACCAAGTAGTTTTGGCCTGAACAGAGTAAAATAAAATACCTCAGTTTCACCTTCTGTTTTCATTCTTAAATGAATCTACTTAGCCTGCCCTAAGTAGAGCCATTTCAGTTTTTCTTTTTGACAGCAGATGCAATCAACTAAAACAGGGGTTACTATCAATTCAACTTTTGAATTTTTCTCCCAAAATGCATCTTTCCCATAAAATTCTTCCAACAGCCAATGTTTTCACCAGCATCTACCACATACTCAACACTTAGTAGATGTTTATCGAATATTCACATGAATAAATGAATAAAGGAATGAACAAATGAATATTTCAAAGAGTCTGTCTTCTCCTCTGAGATAATTATATATTCCTATCTGTATTATCCAAAGGGATTGAGTTTTTCTGTTTTTTGAGATTGTGATGGAAAGAGCAAGTACCTCTAAATTCAGAGGAGCTATAGTTTCAGAACACCTGCGGATCTCCTACTTGATCTGGAACCTTATGAAGCAATCAAGATACATTAAAAAATTAATCCTCTCTTCCAGGGAAAATAAGAAAACTACTTTCCTATAGGGTCACTGGCTCACAGGAGAAAAAAATAAATTGTGGTCCATAAAGAAAGATAATGGAGGGGGGGCGCCTGTGGCTCAAAGGAGTAGGACAACGGCCCCATATTAACGGAGGTGGTGGGTTCAAACTCAGCCCTGGCCAAAAACTGAAAAAAAAAACAAAAAAAGAAAAAGAAAAAAAGAAATATAATAGGAAAAATGAAGAGTCACATAGAAGTTTGAAAACTAGCAACTGCTATTTATATTAGGAAAAAAATGGGAATTAGCATTATTTAGTACCTACTATGTGCCTGGCACTGTGCCACAAGTTACTTTACAGATGCACTCTCATTTAATCCTCTCTTTGCCAATTTTACATGGAAGAAAACAGGTTCCTGGAGGTCAAGGTCACATAGTTTATAATTGCCGAAACAGGATCTGCACCCGGGTTTTTCTTGTCCTTACTTTATTCAGCCCTGCCTCATGCAATACAATACAGGATGGCACAATAGGAAGCTCAAGATAAGACACAGAAAGAGCTTTGTAAACTATAAAGTGCAACTGAAATGCAAGTTACTGTTATCAAGTTATTATGTATTATAAAAGAAATAATGTTCTACAGAAAAACAGCACACTAAACAGAACGCCTGTACCAATCCGAGCTGGTAAAAATGAATGTCCGACAAGAATCGAAAATCAATTTAGAGTGATGTAAATAGCTTGCCATTCATGGGATTTATCTTTGTTCTGATAAGTTATTAAAGTACACACTTTTTAGAAAACAGAATTATATTGTGAAGAGAAGTTTCCATAGATGGCCCACGTCTCTGGATATTTTTACATATATTCTTTAAAATAAAATCACGGTTGGATTCTGCCAACACAAACATTACCTAGCCACCCACTGCTCAATCAACAGATTTAGTAAAGAAACAAGATGACAGACAGCATGCACTGAAAATGCTGCTCAAGAAAAGATAAAAAACATGACTGTCACAGGTCAGTCTTTATTTTTAGAGGCCTTGGGATCGGTTAGATGACATCAACTGGTTCTCAGGCCACAGAATTCTGTCCCAACATAGCCGAGAGTCTTGGGGACTGGTAGTACATGGGGCGGGGCATAGTACTTGACCATGAGTTAGATTCCTCAGGGATGATAGAGGAAGCAGGTGTTTATCATTAATCAGAAGCTTGAGAGAGAACCGGCAGTGATACAGCATGGTCAGGATGGTGATGGCTGGGGATTATGGTCTTTCCTCAGCTCACAGATCAGCTGGGTTCTACCCTGCCCTCAAGCAGTGAGAATGGCAATGAGATATGGCCTGCTAAGCTCCCTGCTAATGTGGGCAGAAAAGAACTGCTGCAAAGCCAGCCCTCCAGCAGACGGATGGACTATGCTTCGTCAGTTCACCCTTTCCTGCTGAATCATTGTTCCAATCTCTAGGCCCAATTAGTCTGGCTCTGGACAGCCACTCAAATCAATAAGAGTCACTGGCCGTGCATCTAGAAGTAGAGTTGCCCCAACTATTAAAGGGACAATATCAGGTGATAATGACAAAGCTGAAAAACATCCTTGCCTGTGCCTTTCTCTTTTGTGCAAAGTCACTGACACCATCAGACTCACTGAATACCCTTTACTGAGAATCAGCCTCCAATCTCTGCCATCATTCAGCAGTCTATCCCAGACACTTTCCCCATTCCCCAAGAGAAGTGACAGGTTCACAGGAGAAACAAAACACTAGTGTGGCACACGCTATTGGCTACCAACCCAACAG